AATTGGGCCACTGTTCCTTCGAAACGAAAAAGACAAACTCAAGACAATTCTGACTCATCAGATGATGAACCACCTGAAGTGTTAGACATTTGCAATGAGTCTGACACACGTAATAAATTGGATACAGCAAAAAAGTTAATATCAAAAAAAAAGCTTGAAGTTACAAAAATGAAACATGCGAATCAACAGGCTTATTCACAAAGTGTAATTCAAAGTATCGCTTTTCATCCAAATGCGCAAATTGCCATGACCGCTGGGTTAGATAAAACAATACGCTTATTTCAAATCGATGGTAAAATCAATCCGAAAATCCAATCAGTCGTACTGAAAGATCTACCCATTTATCGAGCAGCATTCAACGCAAATGGTAATGAGATTATCGTCACCGGACGGAAAAAATACTTTTATATATTTAATATTGAAGCTGGGAACATCAACAAATCTAACGGGATTTATGGGTTCCGAGATAAATCTCTGGAAAATTTTTCAATCTCTCCTTGCGGAAAATATATTGTTTTTGCAGGCAGCAGTGGATATTTGGTTTTGGTCAACAATCGAACTAAGCAATGGGTCGCAAACATGAAAATGAATGGTACTGTTACATCTGTTGATTGGTCTGATGATGGTCGATATTTGTATTCAGTTGGAAGTGATGCAGAAGTATATCAATGGGATGTTAGTACGCGAAGATGCGTCCATCGGTTTAGGGATGATGGAGGGTTTAAACCTACGAAGATATCAGTATCGAAGAATGGTCAATACTTTGCTATTGGGTTAGTGAAGTTTGCCATTTCGCTATTTGCAATTTACACCCAAAAAGTTTCTAATTCCATCTTTAAATAGATCTAATTCTGGTATCGTTAACGTTTATGACGAAACTTGCTTAGTTTTACCAAATCCTAAGCCTTTAAAGTCAATTATGAATTTGACGACAAGTGTTCACGACATGAAATTCAATCATGACGCTCAAATACTTGGAATCTCCAGTCATTCTAAAAAAAATCAATTAAAAATGGTAAATTTGCACTTGTAAAAATATATTTCTTAATGCCTTTGTTATAAACCATTTTATTCGCACTTTTTTTAAAAAATGCTTATGATTTTTGTGGCAGGTCCATTTACCATCTCTTAATGTGTTTCCAAATTGGCCGAACAATTTAACGCCTCTTAATTACATTCAGTGTTTTGATTTCTCGCCGGCAAGTGGTTACATTGCTATAGGTAACGATAAGGGTAAAGCACTTTTGTACAGACTTAGGCATTACCCTGTGGCTTGACAATTGATCTCGATTATATT